TAAAATAACTCACGAAAATAACGGGACTTCGTACTCCCCTTTTTCCTCGTTTGTTAGGCTTACGAGTAATCAAGGTAAACAGATTTAGGGCGTAAATCAAGAGTAACCATGGTCATGGATTAAGTGAGTAGTAACGGGCGACGCCTTTAAGGATCGTTCGAAAACTGTAGTTATACACTAGTCATTTTCTAATGCATGGTTATAACAACTCACAACCCAAATTAATCCAGCACCACCTGAGAAATCAAAATCATTCGTCGTGACAGTATCACAATTGAGAAATCACTGTATTTTATGTATTGGGAAAACATCGGGTTTTCCTGGGAAGTTCAACATTTTCACTTGCGCGATTAATACTAAAGCTCAACATTTATACATGTTTTAAAAATCAACAAGCATATATTTACGGATCTTCACACTTTTTATAAACAATGATCTTTTCAGAAAATATCGGATTTTCTGGGTTTTACAAACTACACAAAATCATATTACCACAACATTGCTTATGAACTCACCAACATTTCATATGTTGACGTTTTTCAAAATTAACTTGTATTCTTAGGTAACAGGTAAACCGAAGAATAAGTACCAAGTAATGTCAGGGTGTTTTGCTTATGATATCTATCAAACATTTATGTTACGAAATTGTAATGTTTAAAACAAAGTACTGGATGTAAACAATATCAGTTGTACTATTTTAATGCATGGTGATGATTTATGTTATGATTCATGTATATTCATTGTGATGGTATTCACTTTAAGTCACAAGAGCCCTCGGACGTTTTCATCGTCTGGTTCGGGGGTGTGACATTTTGAGAGCCTGGTGGTCGGACCCAGAGCGAGATCGGGTCTCCTCAATGATTAGAAATCATTATATTCGGAGTGAGGTGGACATCTCAATCCGAAGGAGTTGGATAAGTGAAGTACGCATGGGTTGCGGGTCACAAGCCATGAGTTGAATGGGTCATTGTGACGAGCGGTTCCAACTTCGGGTCAGACCAAACTCTCAAGTTGAGTTAAGTCCTGTTGGTGTGTTGGATAGACGAGATAAGGTGTTGGAATCAGAGGTGGGTTCCATGTGAGAGTTTTTTTTGTCATCTGATGTCTTGGACCTGAGTAGGTCAGGGCCTTGGTTCGGGAGGTGCAGCGGGATGCACAGAACTATTGGATAGTAACGAACAGAGTTCCGAGGTGATTCGATCTTCAGTAGAGTTGTATTGTTTGCTTAAGAGAAAGCGACCGGCATAACTTGTGCGTCACTAAGAGTTGAGACAGTTAGTATAAGATGGGAAGTCGCTAAGACCTTCTGGTTATGGAATAAGTGAACTTGAGGTTCATCCATTGCGTTTTAGAGGTCAGAGGATATTTTTGGGCAAGCATGATCACCTTCTGGTGCTCAAGATTAGAGTTTGGGTTCATTCTCTCTGATGAATCCTGACGATGGTTTTTGCAGTAAGACTTGAAGAAATGAGGAGTTTATGACCTCTCTGTTCTTTTGAGGTTGCGATCGGGATCGATCAGGGTTGATAGGGTGTTCTTAGAGTCTGTTAGTCGGTAGGCGATTAACAAAATAAGGTTGCGAGGATGGTCTGGCAAGAATTTAGACCGCAAGAGTTTCTCCAGTTATGGGGATTCAGATTTGGGTACCACAGCGGCAGTTGGGTCTGCCCCTTTCGGGTCGGGAGTCTTCGGTGGGAACGAGTATCCTTGGAAGCGATTGTTATATGGTTTGAGGACCTTCGGTGGTGCATCTTTATTTGTTGGGTCCAATCTATGTCTGGTAAGGAGCGATTTCGAGGGCGAAATCTAATTCAAGTGGGGGAGAATTGTAACATCCGAGAATTGGGTATATTTATTTAACTCTTCTCTTTTGTCAAGTTGTCAAGATAGGTCCATAAGTAGGAAAAGTTGCAAATGAGTATGTTGAGCGTACTGGAGAGTACGCTGCGCGTACTCATGCGCTTGAAATGGACGCGGACTCCTTAAGGTACGTTGGGCGTACCAAAGTTACGCTGCGCGTAACTGGTCCAGATGCAAACCCTAATTTGAGGCTTGAGCCCTATATAAGGGATGATATGGACTTATCCTTAGCCACAATTTCATAGAGAGAAACCCTAAGAGAGCATTTCCTTCGTCCTAAAGCTTGCGTGTGAGTGTTTTGAGCTTCAAAGTGCCATTTCAAGGTGGTGAAGGAAAAGGGGAGGCCATTGTAGAAGCTAGAAGTTGGTGGACAAGAGTAGATCTGAGTTCTTCAGAGGTTGGAGCTTCCTTCTAAGGTAAAAAGCTTAAAGCTTTCCTTGTCTTTTTTGATTTGTGCTTCTTGGACCAATTTTTAGGGGTTTTGGTCCCAAGATGGAGACTTTATGAGCAAATGGTCTCCATAAGACTATATCTGCCATATTTCAGAGTAAAATGAGGTGTATGTTCATTAAAATGTGATCTTGGATGAGATTATTGAGCCATGCATGAGATATAGATCTTTTGAGGAAGGAGGAAAGGTGTTAGGGAGTGTAGGGACCTTTACAGCCATGCAAAGGCTTAAAGGTTCCAACTTTATGGTTTAAGGACTGTTAGGGAGCCTAGATCCAAGACATGGGCTAAGGTCTTAACGGGTTAAGACCCATAAAATGGATTAAGTGAAACGGAAGTTACGCATCGCGTAATTCCAGTACGCCCCGCGTACTGGGTTGAGGTCCCTGATTAGTTCTTTGGGCATTTGTGTACGCTGAGCGTACCAAGGAGGTACGCCCCGCGTAACCCCACTGTGGGCTTTTGGACTAGAGTTGATATTTGGGCCTTAAGTGTTGGACTTGAATCCTTGGGCCTGCGTAGTTGAGCATATGAGCAGAGAATTAGTTGATGTCTTGGGCCTCATGTTGGGCTTGTCTTGTAGGTTGAGGTTGTGCCTTAGGGAAACCCATATATTATTGGGCCTTGGTGGGCCCAATGGAATTAGAGCATCGATGGGCTGGAAATTGGTCTATCTTTAGACCTAATAAGTGAAAGGTTGGTCCTAGTTTCTAATCATGGGAATAATGGGTTTGACACAGAGATAGAAGCCGGTTTTTAGTAGCAGCGTGACTAGAGGATGATTCTTCGTTCCAGGTGAGTCTTCTCACTATACGTTAGTTAGAGTGGTATTTATGTGGACCGAGGGGTCTTATGTGCTATGTATGAGATTATGTGAATCTATGTGCTATGTGATATTTGTATGTTATATGATTGTATAGACCGGACCAGAAGGTCCAACGATACAGATCGGACCAGAGGGTCCAACAATTCAGACCGGGCCGAAGGGCCCAACGAGCTACGGGACTGGAGGGTCCCGCCGAGACACATCAACCGGAGGGTCGTACAGTAGCCTCGAGTGGCGTATGTGTATTATATTGTATTTTGGGGAACTCACTAAGCATTTATGCTTATAGTTGTTGTGTTATGTGTTTCAGGTACTAGCGAGGATTGCGGGAAGGCGTCGACATGATCCGTACACACTCATAGAGTTTATGTTATTGAGATTCTGGGGACATGTTTTGTATGACACAGTGATACGTTATGTTTTGAGAGTATCATGTGATTGAAAGTATGATTTAAAAAATTTTTAAAAAAAAATGTTTTGAAAATTTACGTTATTACAAGTAGAAATTGATGTGGTCGTAAATCTGGTGAAGTGGAGGCAACGGATGATGAAGGCAAAGTTTCCGGAGAAGGTAACGCCGCCAAAGTTGATGCAGTTATAGATCGGAGCAAGGTAGACGAACATCAGTACGATGTGGTGGTGGAGCCATTACTGGCCACCATGAAATACTCCGTACACACCAGTTTTATGCCTAAAAATGCACCAAATACATCATATATGTCCAGATCTGAGAAATCGGGGTGTCTTTGGCTTCAGATCCTCAGATCTAATGGCAGTTGGTGACTTTTTTGATGGTCTAAGGTGAGGAGGCGACAACGACGACATTTTTTGGTGCTTTGGAGAGGTTGGCAGTCAGAGACGAAGCACAAATCACTGATCTAAAGGTGTAGAAGATTGACGTCGACGGTGGTGGTAACGATTCAACGGTGATAGCGGTAGCTAGCATCGATGGTTACAGATCTAGTGTTGCTTTGACGTTGTCGGTGACATGTAAGCCATACGAAGACTTTTCTCCCCACAACAAACAAATCGTTAATCTTGGGTAATAATAAAATAAATACATCCATATATTTATGATCCTCGCTTATTTGTGTACATACTTTTTATTCTAATAGGATTTTTATATGGAAGTTCTAAAATAATAACTTAATATCCATAATTTTAAACACACGAAATCCTAATGGTTGGCGATACCATTATTCAATACCAAAGAATGGGTTCTCTCAAGTTTCGTTAGCATTCATTTCTTAGCCCTATTTTATATAATCATTAAGGAATATAAACTACATTAACCTTATAATGGTTGTCTCATTTGAAAGATGACACGATAATGGTGTTACAAAAATAAAGGAATATGTAACACTAGAATCACTCGAGAGTCGAGATGTACCTTAAGGGTGTTGAAAAATAGTTAAAACAAAGCTTCCGATGTAGCTACTTGATGCACATGTTTTCTTTTAGCCATCTTGTTGGGTCTTCAACTCTTCATAGCTTCACCATGAAGCTTTCGGTATACACACATGCTAACGCCATTAGCTTTATTGTATCGCAGTTGGATGATAGACAGTTTTAATCATAAAATTATTGGGTTTGTCCAACAATCTCCCCTAACATGATGATGTGGAAAGCAGGAATATCAACTGGAGTTTAATTTTTCCAAGATCATCTTCAATCATGGATGATAATAAAGTGACAAATGAAGTGTTAAAACCTTTGATGAGAGCTGATGAATTTAAACTTTTTTTTTACCATTCTTCAAATTTATTTAACACCTCAAGTTATATGTTTACTCGACATAATCATCCATGCTGTAAAACACCTTCCAACAAAAATGTTAGTTTCACATATCATATCATATAATGTGGATCACAAGGCAAACTAACATGTAGTTGGTGAAGGTGATAGAAGAAATGAATGCTAACATTTTTATTTGAACTCGATTATAAAACTTAGAAGAATACAATAAAGAGAAATACTTGATTCATAAGAAAAACAAAAATCGAAAGCACAAACAATAAACATCAATAAAAGATCACACAAACGTAGCATAGTTCTACGTGATTACAAGAGATAAATGCATCAAGAAAACATGAATAATTGAAAATGGAGATGTGAATTCTTCACTCTTTGCCATCAGCAGCCCTAAGAGAACCGAGTTGAACGGGTGCTTGAGTCCCAACTACTTTGGAAGAACCATAAACCGAAAGGTCAAAACCTTCACCTCTTTCTTTCTCGATTTGTTCCTTGATCCAGAAATATGTGATTCTTAATCCATCCTGTGTATATGAATGAAAAAGAAGCATATGAGAGGTTGTGTCAAAATGTTTTAAAAAAAATAATAAAAAAAAAAAAGAAAAAGGAATACCTTTAATTTCATGGTGGGGGCCCACCCAAGTTTCTCTTTGATCAAAGTGTTGTCAGAGTTTCTACCACGAACACCTTCTGGGCCTGGTATGTGGTGGATTGGGAGCTTTTTGTTTTCAAAGCTCAAAACAATCTCAGCCATTTCATTCATGCTTACCATTTCATCACTTCCGATATTTACTGGCTCACGGAAGTCAGATTTTGTCAATCTGTTAAAATTACATTAATAAACAAAATTATATTTTTTTTTTTCGTATAAAGTACAACTTTCCTTGCACAAAGTACAAGTTGCAATACCCTCGGTATAAAAAAGGGTACCTTAAGACACCTTCAACACACTCATCAATGAAGGTGAAAGAGCGTGTCTGTAGACCATCTCCCCACATTTCAAACTTATCAGTAGCCGTAAGGGCTTTTCTGCAAAAAGCAGCAGGTGCTTTCTCCCTTCCGCCTGAAATTTAAACACATGAAATTCCCAAACTACCCTTTTGTTTTATAAAGAGTCGTTTTATTAATTAATTAATTAATACCTTTCCATGTGCCAAAAGGTCCGTAAATGTTATGAAAGCGTCCAATTCGGCATTCAATTCCAAAGTCTTTGGTGTAGTGCCTGCAGAGCTCTTCAGTTGCTAGTTTTTCCAAACCGTAAGCATCTTGAGGCTATAATTCGAAGGGTAAATAAGTCATTATACATTAATGAGAGGTTTTTTTAAATGTTATTAATATTAGAGATGGTTTTTTTGGTAATATCTATCAACCACTTATTATTATTATTATTATTATTATTATTATTATTATTATTATTATATATATATATATATATATATATATATATATATATATATAATTACAAAGTGAAAACGAATAGAATAGTATACATTTTAGTTTCATTTTAGCAGTTTTGGTCCCTATATACAAAATAAATCACAAAATCAGTCCCTATAACTTACAGAAAAGATCCATGTACATAACTTTTTTTAAAAGGAATGGTCCAGGTGTTTAAGACTTTCGTATGTTGGCAGATTTGGTCCCTGTGTAGAAACTAAATTACAAAAGCTGTCCCTATAACGTACAGAAAAGGTCCCTGTGCAGATTTTTTTTATAGAAACGGTCCATATGTTTATAAAACTTGCAGATTACATTTAAAAAAATTACAAAAATAGTCCCAAACTATAGAAAAATTGCAGATTAATCGCTTTCATTCAATAATATTTCCTTTTACTCCCCTAACTATAGTTAAACTTCATATCTTTGTTCTATTTTATTAAATATTCTATAATATTTCATTTATCATTCAATATCAAATATTAAATTCATAACGACTACATGACACTATATAACTATGTATGTAACAATCTAATCATCTTTTATATTTTCGGAAAAAAAGACCCTGAGATAGTTATCATTTTTTGCAATATATTTATTTAATCAAATGTTATTGTAAAGTAGTATATATATTTTTAAATATGATGCATGCTTAAAAATAAAAAAATAAAAATTAAGAATTAATAACCTCAGCGGGCCAGGCGTCTGATTCCTTTAAGCTCACATTGGTTTCCAACTGCTTAAACTCAGGGTAAATGCAAGCACTAGAGGCATAGAAGAACCTGTTAAATAGAATGAGAGTCAATGTGATTTGTATAAAAGTCAAAGGTTGACAATTGGTAAAATAAATAATAACAGTTTGAAGTTTTTCCATGTAAAGAAGCAATGTTTTGTGGACATTTGAGTCAAACATCTAAAATAGTTAAAATGTAGATTGAAAACATTTAAACTATTCAAGAAAAAGAAAATGTCACGTTTATTTCAGGGAATCCCAAAAGGGACTAGAAATCGTTGCATAAATAGAAAATGAACATCGAGTAGTTTCTTTATTGAAATATAATTGAATATCTCTAGATTAATCTTTTTTTTACCGACAATTATAATTAAATTAAAAGAATAATTAGAGTAAATTATGTTTTTTTTTGTCCATGTGTGTAGCTGATTTTTGCAGTTTTGGTCTCAAAACGATCTATCTTGCAATTTTGGTCCTTATTTGAGGTTTATGTAGCGTTTTTGGTCCCTGCTCCAAGTAAAATGACTATTTTTTGTTCATAAGTAAGAAGTATCGTTGATTTTTACAATTTTGGCCTCAAAAAGATTTCTCTTACAATTTTGGTCCTTATTTAAGGTTTATGTAGCATTTTTGGTCCCTATTCCAAGTAAAACAACTATTTTTTTTGTTCCTTGGTAATAAAGATCATTGATTTTTGCAATTTTGGTCCTTGTTTGAGGTTTATGTAACATTTTTGGTCCCTGTTCCACGTAAAATGACTATTTTTGCCTATTTGGTCCCTAAGTATCATTGACTTTTGCAATTTTGGTCCAAAAAAAGTAGTCCTTTTACTTAGAAGAGGGGCCAAATACATACAAAAAGCCAAAAACATCAAGTAAGAATTAACAAACCTCTTAACTCCAGTGATTCTTGCAGCCTCAAGCATATTAAAGCTAATCATGGTGTTATTATACATAATAACAGAATGATTGGACTGAATGAATCCCATTCCACCCATATCAGCAGCCATATTGAAGACATGATCAACATTTTTTGTAACTTTCAAGCAGTTATCCATGACACGAAGATCAACAAGATGGAATTCATGGCAAAACATATCTTCAGGCATGTGTTCGTTTTTCTTCCAATCAGAAGCAATGATGTAATGGCCTTCTGTTTTCAAACGACGTGCAATGTGTGAAGCAATGAATCCACCAGCTCCTGTGATGGAGACACGAAGCTTTTCTGTTGGCCAGTAGGGTTCCCTTTCCAGGCTCTCGTATGTGAATGACCCGTATTTTGTTTCACCAATTGTTCCCATTCTGTAATTTTTTTTTTTTTTAAAAAAAAAAGATTAAATCGTGATGTTTATTGAATTGAATTGAATTTCATTCTTTGTTTTTTGTTTCTAAGAAGGCTAAAGTGTCCTTATAAACACATAACAAAATAAATGAATGAAGGGTATTTTGGTCATTTCACCTGTTGTTCCCATTCTGCAGAATGTTTATTGTTAAAAAGATTAAATCATGTTGTTTATTGAAAATGGGAAATCGCTTGTTATATTGAATTGAATTGAATTTCATTCTTTGTTTTTTGTTTCTAAGAAGACTAAAGTGTCCTTATAAACACATAACAAAATAAATGAATGAAGGGTATTTTGGTCATTTCACCTGTTGTTCCCATTCTGTAAAAATATATATATATATATATATATATTTATCATAAGAAAAAAAGAAAAAGATTAAATCATGATGTTTATTGAAAATGGGAAATCGGTTGTTATATTGTTAGACTTTGGAGGGTTTGGTTTGGGGATTCCGGAGGGAATGTCTGAAGGAATTGGAATCTTGATTCCGTTCCTTGGTGTGTTTGGTTGTGAGACCAATGGAATTGAATTCCATGAGATTCCTTGAATTTCATTATTTGTTTTTCTTTCAAAAAAAAAAAGACTAAATTGTCCGTATAAACGCATAACAAAACAAATGAATAAAGGGTTTTTTGGTCATGAACTCATTTCACGTAAATTCTTATGTCTTTGTTAGATTTTACAAACAAAACATAAACCAAGAAAAGGAATGGGATTGAATTCCATTCCATGGCATGTTTGATCTCTAAGAGATTCCTTTGAAATCCATGTAATAGGGATTTCATCATTCCTAATGGTGGGTTGTAAGTATTTCAATTCTACTCTTCATTTTTTTTGTTCATTAAAAGGACAAATTGTCCTCATAAACCCATTACAAAACAAATCAATAAAGGGTATTTTGGTCATTTAACATTATTTACATTCGCATTTCTTTCATAGATTAAACTATAGGAATCATATGATCATAAAAGAACAAAGGAAATGGATTGGATTCCATTCCATTTCTAGAACAATTAAAGAAAAAAAAAATTAAACTACAGGAATCACATGATCATAATTTACTCAACTTTTATAACTTAGATAAGCACAAAAAGATTATATTAGCATACAAATGACCAAAAACGTTGAGCATCAACACATTTTATAAAACAATATCTATCAAGAGAGAAAAAAACAGCATAAAACTCATCTTAATTGCAGTGAAATCACAGTGGTGAACTTTTTTAAGAGCTTTACACCGACATACAAGACAAATACCTAGTTTTACACACATAAACTCGATAAGAACAGCATAAACCCTAGATAAATCTTGTACGATTTCATACAACAGATCATAAATCTCAACAAAATCAAACGAAATCGGTATCAGATCACAGAATAAATCGCAAGAGATGCAAATTTTACATAAAACCCATCAATCGACCAGCGGTTTTATAAAAGAAAATAAAATTTAAAGGAACTGGAAATTACCTGATAAAAAAAAAGCGATTTATTGTAGAAAAATTAATCCCTTTGAGAATTTGGGCGCCACTCGTGACTTACTCTTTTGTTGGAAAAAAAAAAAGACTCCAATTTTGCTTCTGTGTGTATTTTAGGTTTCTTGGGTGTCACTTTATCAGCTTTTCAAACTTTTGTGGACTAAAAAATTCTATCTTTAAAGAAAATCATTTATGATTATGACATGAATATGAAGAAAAAGAAAAAAAAAAATGATATTTTACCTTATATTGATTGATATAAAATATAAAATTCGCATGGTCCCGATAACATTTAATAGGAGGAAATAAGTCAATAACTAAACCGTGAAAATCTTTAACTTTTTATATTTTCAAGGCATTTGAACTATGAAGACTTAGAATACCATAAATGCAAAATTGCATGTTAAAATATTGGTTTTTCTTTTACTTGTTTTACACAAAAACAAAAATAAAATGGAATATAAATCAAAATTGTATAAAGCATCAAAAAGAGAGACCAAAATCGAAAATTTAGATCAATTATATGCAATAATACAAATACAGTTTACATGTGCACTAATGCACATGCAAGTACTTAGTTTACCATTGTAAATTACTTATCAGCCCTTTTGTTTTTTCCTAAAATCTTTTAAAGATTTGTGTTTTCCGATTTCAAGTTTTTAGATCCATATATTATACAAACTATAACATTTTTTTCCTATATGAATGTTCCTTTTCCACTATGCATTGCGAAAAATTAGGAGAGTTCTTTATGAGATGAACGACACCCAAAAAAAAAACTACATTTCTTCTAGAATGATTGTGATTTGGGGTTTTGTTCTTTAGTGGTTTGTGTTTATTCTCGAATGATACAAAAAAAAAAAAAAAAAAAAAAAAAAAAGACAACTTTTTTACTTCTGTTTTACTCGATTAATTTCAACTTCAATATTGATTAACGTTTTTTCCCTTTAAACCAAGATTCTTTATGTGAAAAACTGAAATTAACTGCATGCAATAATATATGGAAAATTAGTAATATACTTTTTAAGTGAACCTTATAATTTTCCATTTTTTTTTTCTTTTGAAAGATATACATGAGACAAAAGAAACACATCAAAAAGTAATTTGTGTTTAATTGTGGTTTTTTTTTTTAAATGGGTTTAAAATATTATAAAATGACTTTTCTACGTTAATTTTTATTGAAATTTTGTATGAATACCTAAATACCCAAATTAACCTAAACTTGAACTCAGGTGATTTGGATTTTGTTTAATCTAAATGGGAAAATGGTGCACATGTGATGAACAAAAACATTGACACCCAACGAACATTTTTGAATCTTTATGATCGATGTCGCATGTGCATTTGCATCCATCTTGAATCAACGTCGCCGGAAAAAGACTTCCGTTTTCCGTCGTCAACCTCCGGCGACATCTACAGATACACAAAGATGAAACACTACTGGAAAATGACTTCCGTTCATCAGAATCCACCATCTTTAATCGGAAACTCCCTACTTTAATTTACCATCACATCGGTGATTTCGTGATGAAATCCGCTTTTCAACGTTAATTTATTACTTCACGTACTTTTTTAGAGCTTCGATTGAGTACAAAAATTAGAGGACCTACCGATCCTCCTAAAACCCTACAAACTTGCCGAATATTCTAAAAATGAAAATCATTTACGCAGTGATTGTGTTTGATGTTTGCTTGTGTATGTCTGTGGGAAGAAGAGACAGGGGAACACACAGACAGACTGTAGGGAAGCCAATGGAACACGCCTTTTAAGCGATTCATACAATTAGAATGGGAGAAACATCATAAAGTTTAGTCTCAGAGAATTTTAGAGAAATCATACGACTCAAACACCTAATTAACACATAAAATCGATAAGAACAGTATGAAACCTAGACAATTCTCTTATCCTTTTGCCATATAAACACCGCAAATCTCAACAAAATCCGTATCCAATCACCGAACAAATTACGAAAGATATGAATAATACAAGAGATTAATGTTGAAAGTTTACAGGAACTTAGAATTACCTGAAGATTTTGCCGAAATATTGCAGGGATTTAAGGGTGAGGTTTGGTTTGCTCTACAAATCTTCTAGCGAGATAATTTGAGCGGCACTCGTGTCCTACTCGTATGGGTGCAACTGCAAACACACTTCAATTATCCTTCTATTTCGACTTGATTGCCTTTTTATTCACATTTTTGGAGTGTCCACTTTACCTTTTCACGTTTTAAATTTTGTGGACATATAAAAATATTTTTTAAAGAAAATAATTTATAACATGAATATCGAGGGAAAAGTTTTGATTTTTCCTATAGTTAATAAATTTGTGTACATATATTGTCCTAAAAACGTTTAATGTAGTAAAAATCGTTTTAATATAAAATATGAATCACGTGTTAAATTTGTTGCTTTTTTAAATGTTTGTTTGCTTTTTTCGGTTATGTACATGATAGGCAATATGGTATTAACTAAAGTCGTTACTAACTCAAACGTTTTGATATGAGACCTGTTATCAATCACAAAAATATCAGTTAAAGATATATTGTGCATAAAAGTTTGGATTTTTTTAGTTGTTAATAAACTTGTGTGCTCATATTGTCCTACGAACGTTTCATGTGATAAAATTCGTTTTATTGTAAAGTATGAATCAAGTGTTAAATCTTTTGTTTTTGAAATGTTTTTTTTGCTTTTTGCCATTATGTATAAAATGGCAATATGGTGTTAATCAGAATCAATACTAACTCAAATGTTTAGATGCGAAACTTATGATCAATCATAAAAATATAAGTTAGAGATATATTGTGTGTAATTTATAAAAATATTTTTTATAACATGAATATCGAGGAAAAAGTTTGGATTTTTTCAATTGTTAATAAATTTTTGTACCCATATTGTCCTAAAAACGTTTAATGTGATAAAACTCGTTTTAATATAAAATATGAATCAGTGTTGAATCTTTTGTTTTTTTAATGTTTGTTTTGTATATGATAGCCAGTAGGGTATTAATTGAAATAGGTACTAACTCAAACGTTTAGATATGAACCTACGATCAATCACAAAAATACCAATTAAAGATATATTGTGCATAAAAGTTTGAATTTTTTTCAGTTGTTAATAAATTTGTGTACTCATGTTGTCCTACAAATGTTTAATGTGATAATACTCATTTTAATGTAAAATATGAATCAGGTACTAAATCTTTTGTTTTTTAAATGTTTGTTTGCTTTTTTCCATCATGTATAAGATGGCAATATGGTATCAATCAAAAATCAATACTAACTCAAACATTTAGATACAAAACTTATGATCAATCATAAAAATATCAGTTAGAGAGATATTATGTGTAATTTATAAAAATAATTTTTTAAGGAAAATAATTTATAATATGAATATCAAGGAAAAAGTTAGGATTTTTCCAATTGTTAATAAATTTGTGTACCCATATTGTCCTAAAAACGTTTAATGTGATAAAACTCGTTTTAATATAAAATATGAATCAGTGTTGAATCTTTTGTTTTTTTAATGTTTGTTTTGTATATGATAGGCAGTAGGGTATTAATTGAAATAGGTACTAACTCAAACGTTTAGATATGAACCTACGATCAATCACAAAAATACCAATTAAAGATATATTGTGCATAAAAGTTTGAATTTTTTTCAGTTGTTAATAAATTTGTGTACTCATGTTGTCCTACAAATGTTTAATGTGATAATACTCATTTTAATGTAAAATATGAATCAGGTACTAAATCTTTTGTTTTTTAAATGTTTGTTTGCTTTTTTCCATCATGTATAAGATGGCAATATGGTATCAATCAAAAATCAATACTAACTCAAACATTTAGATACAAAACTTATGATCAATCATAAAAATATCAGTTAGAGAGATATTATGTGTAATTTATAAAAATAATTTTTTAAGGAAAATAATTTATAATATGAATATCAAGGAAAAAGTTAGGATTTTTCCAATTGTTAATAAATTTGTGTACCCATATTGTCCTAAAAACGTTTAATGTGATAAAACTCGTTTTAATATAAAATATGAATCAGTGTTGAATCTTTTGTTTTTTTAATGTTTGTTTTGTATATGATAGGCAGTAGGGTATTAATTGAAATAGGTACTAACTCAAACGTTTAGATATGAATCTACGATCAATCACAAAAATACCAATTAAAGATATATTGTGCATAAAAGTTTGAATTTTTTTCAGTTGTTAATAAATTTGTGTACTCATGTTGTCCTACAAATGTTTAATGTGATAATACTCATTTTAATGTAAAATATGAATCAGGTACTAAATCTTTTGTTTTTTAAATGTTTGTTTGCTTTTTTCCATCATGTATAAGATGGCAATATGGTATCAATCAAAAATCAATACTAACTCAAACATTTAGATACAAAACTTATGATCAATCATAAAAATATCAGTTAGAGAGATATTATGTGTAATTTATAAAAATAATTTTTTAAGGAAAATAATTTATAATATGAATATCAAGGAAAAAGTTAGGATTTTTCCAATTGTTAATAAATTTGTGTACCCATATTGTCCTAAAAACGTTTAATGTGATAAAACTTGTTTTAATATAAAATATGAATCAGTGTTGAATCTTTTGTTTTTTTAATGTTTGTTTTGTATATGATAGGCAGTAGGGTATTAATTGAAATAGGTACTAACTCAAACGTTTAGATATGAACCTACGATCAATCACAAAAATACCAATTAAAGATATATTGTGCATAAAAGTTTGAATTTTTTTCAGTTGTTAATAAATTTGTGTACTCATGTTGTCCTACAAATGTTTAATGTGATAATACTCATTTTAATGTAAAATATGAATCAGGTACTAAATCTTTTGTTTTTTAAATGTTTGTTTGCTTTTTTCCATCATGTATAAGATGGCAATATGGTATCAATCAAAAATCAATACTAACTCAAACATTTAGATACAAAACTTATGATCAATCATAAAAATATCAGTTAGAGAGATATTATGTGTAATTTATAAAAATAATTTTTTAAGGAAAATAATTTATAATATGAATATCAAGGAAAAAGTTAGGATTTTTCCAATTGTTAATAAATTTGTGTACCCATATTGTCCTAAAAACGTTTAATGTGATAAAACTTGTTTTAATATAAAATATGAATCAGTGTTGAATCTTTTGTTTTTTTAATGTTTGTTTTGTATATGATAGGCAGTAGGGTATTAATTGAAATAGGTACTAACTCAAACGTTTAGATATGAACCTACGATCAATCACAAAATACCAATTAAAGATATATTGTGCATAAAAGTTTGAATTTTTTTCAGTTGTTAATAAATTTGTGTACTCATGTTGTCCTACAAATGTTTAATGTGATAATACTCATTTTAATGTAAAATATGAATCAGGTACTAAATCTTTTGTTTTTTAAATGTTTGTTTGCTTTTTTCCATCATGTATAAGATGGCAATATGGTATCAATCAAAAATCAATACTAACTCAAACATTTAGATACAAAACTTATGATCAATCATAAAAATATCAGTTAGAGAGATATTATGTGTAATTTATAAAAATAATTTTTTAAGGAAAATAATTTATAATATGAATATCAAGGAAAAAGTTAGGATTTTTCCAATTGTTAATAAATTTGTGTACCCATATTGTCCTAAAAACGTTTAATGTGATAAAACTCGTTTTAATATAAAATATGAATCAGTGTTGAATCTTTTGTTTTTTTAATGTTTGTTTTGTATATGATAGGCAGTAGGGTATTAATTGAAATAGGTACTAACTCAAACGTTTAGATATGAACCTACGATCAATCACAAAAATACCAATTAAAGATATATTGTGCATAAAAGTTTGAATTTTTTTCAGTTGTTAATAAATTTGTGTACTCATGTTGTCCTACAAATGTTTAATCTGATAATACTCATTTTAATGTAAAATATGAATCAGGTACTAAATCTTTTGTTTTTTAAATGTTTGTTTGCTTTTTTCCATCATGTATAAGATGGCAATATGGTATCAATCAAAAATCAATACTAACTCAAACATTTAGATACAAAACTTATGATCAATCATAAAAATATCAGTTAGAGAGATATTATGTGTAATTTATAAAAATAATTTTTTAAGGAAAATAATTTATAATATGAATATCAAGGAAAAAGTTAGGATTTTTCCAATTGTTAATAAATTTGTGTACCCATATTGTCCTAAAAACGTTTAATGTGATAAAACTTGTTTTAATATAAAATATGAATCAGTGTTGAATCTTTTGTTTTTTTTAAATGCTTGTTTGCTTTTTTCCATTATGTATAAGATGGCAATATGGTATTAATCAAAACTGATACTAACTCAAACGTTTAGATACGAGACCTATGATCAACCTACGAGTCTTGACTTCGATCTAAGCATGTCATAATGTATCAGAAAGTTGGTGTCCTAATGTATTAGGAAGTTGGTGTCCTAATGCTAGATAAATCATTCATTAAGATGGTATATCAGGAAGATAGTGTGATGATCATGTTCCTATAGCATTGTACTTTTTTGCAAACATGTGACTTATTGTACCTTTATATGCCCTCAAGTCGTGTTATAACTTCTAATGTTATACCTTTCGAGTTCATAGTATGGAACCCCATGCTTTAGTTGTGTGTTCTTAACCACGTGATATGGGTAGCAGTCTATACATAGATACGTTATATATAATTAGAAACTTACCATAGAAGGCATATGAAGTGAAAATGAAAGAAAGTAGAATCTTTTGTATGCAATGATACAACTAAAATTGCTTGTACATTGGCCTACATAAAAGCCATTGTGTGATTATTTTGTGAAATTACTCATTAGTCCCTCTCGTTATTACATAAAAGAGTTATTTCATGTATTAATGGACCACACCATCACAAGTTGCTATAAAGGATGGGTATGAACAAGATATATTGAATAGGATAAAACATAGCTTTCAAGTAGAAAAAAACAACTTACTTTTTGTACAAATCTTGTATATATCAATATTAGATCTTTTTAAAATTAAACACCAATACAAATCCAACTTTTCATCTACAAAGTGCACTCGTTACTTAAAATCAAAAGGACTGGTTGCACCATGTGTTATATTAACATAATTTTGAATATGACAAAGTCGAAGGAAAATTTTTCTGTTATCTTATTAAGTTTGGGTTATGGTTTAAATAATTTCAAATTCCACTTAAAATCCGTATAATAATATCATATATGTATGTTGTTCAGAATTCCTCACCCAAAGAACCCAATATTATACCTTTCATTGGAGCAAAATAAAAAATTGCACATATATGATAGATAGGTAGGGTAGGAAAGAGAAAACAAAAACCAAAAAATAAGTATGTATTTGTCTCTACAAATGATTATCAATCAATGACGTGAATGGTATCCTATGATTTAGTTTAATTGTTGATTGCTAAATAAGTTACATCATATTTAAATAATAGTTGATACTTCACATAATAGACGTGGCCACATTGAGACACCAATTCCTACCTAATACCCTATAATATGTAGAAAAGTAACATCAAACAAATATATATTTGACAGGAAAAATATAAAAATATA